CAAGCTGGCCACGACCTCGCGCCCGCCATTGACTAATTCGATGCTTCCTCTTGATCCACCATTCGATGCCAAGTCTGCCAATCCGTTGCCCAAGCCTGACCGTGGTCAGCCTCCAAACGTCTCGCCTGCAACAGCACAACAAAAACGAAGTGAAACTAGACTCCGCCGTGACAGAGCTCGCAGCGCAATCCGGCGTGTTGATTACAGCCACGAACGCGCAAGCACGCAGTAATGTACGCAAGGGCTGCGCGCAGTATTCTGTGAACATGGTCGCAGAAAAGACAAATTCATGGGCAGAACGTAGAAGTAAATCTGATAAACGTCCCGAAGCCTTGTATCGGGCTGTAACTCTTGTCTCTGGCAATGCATTGGTAGGTTGCACATGGGACATCTATCAATACTTCACAGACGGTTGTGGGCAACTACCAGTCAATGCCGCTACGAAACAACCCGCGAGGCAGCTGCCATCATGTCCAGGTGGGGCGCACACTAAACACGCATCATCAGTTGGCGAAAACATAGTCGTTTAGCGGCCGTGCAGCATGGAGATTGCTTCAAAGCTTCGGACTTTACGGAAGACCCTCGAAGTTGGTTGGAGCCGACCTCCTCTTGAAACTTCACCAACTTCTGCTCCAGCTGAGCAGCCTCCGGGAGACTATAGTGCGCATAGCAACTAAAAGTGCCTTGAGCAGGTTATTATCTTTCATCAGTGGATTGCAGCTGCACATGGAGGTGGAATGTGTTGTTGTTGCTTGCATCTTCGGATCAACATAAGACCATAAAGCGGCATAAGATAACCCTCGATGCACATCTCTCTAGCAGAGCCTCGGTACTGCTCGGATACGTCGCCTGTGCAGGGGAAAGTCATCGATCTCCAGCAGATGCGAACCACAGCACAAAGAACTGGTCTGCGTCGATTCGGAGAAAGATCCCAGCGGGTACTACGACATGCGCAAGGATGCGTTGTTTCCGGCCTGCTTGGACAAGTCTGCAGCTATTTGTTCCCAGCCTCGGCTCGCATCTTCGAGTCTGGGAAGGTCTGCTGTTTCAGATTCGGGACAGCCGCGCTGTTGCGGCTGCAAGGGTGCCTGTTTCGGTTACTTGGCATCAAAGCCGTCACCGATATTTCGGACTAGTCACTGCGCCGCTATCTTTCTGATGACGCAAAATTTGGCTCCAACCTGCATTGTTGACCTTCGAAGTCAGTTGTTGCTGTTGCTCTTTGCGGTCTGTCATTCAAGATCATCTGCCTTTTCAAAGCTCCGGGCGCTTCTCGGATTCCACTTTGGCGACCTGAGGATAGGAGTACCACAGGACATGTGGAGCATCGTGCAGCCAGCCACGGCAGGCCCGGAACAGGCCCAACAACACCCCGTCATTGATCTTCAGCACGTCTCAACACAAGTACCAAGGCTCTAAGCTCAACCCCACTTTAAAAGTGCCAACCCCAGCACGGAACGACGGACCATCTGCATCGAGCCGAATCTGAAGGAAGACGCGAGCACCTCACCACGGCCCTCTTAGTCTTAGGGCCTGCTCCAGCTCTAGCGCCTCTGCTGACTGCTTCAGCTGTGAGGTGGCCTCAGGCCGGCCCGGGACACAAAGGAAAAGGACCTCTCAAAACCATCGGCTATAGGAGAGAGATCGCGAACCAAACCTCAGCCTCGGAGCCTTGAGTGCTCAAGCCCAAGCGCGCACAAACCTGTAACGAACCTACACGCCGAAATCGCGAAGCTTCCGCGCGTGCCACCACTTTGCTTACAAGACGAGCAACTCTGTGATACTTCGAAAAAATGACCACAGGCTCATGGTCAAGAGCCTTTTGGCCTTCCTTTTCCGTCCATTTCTCTGCCTCTCTCACAGTGGTTAAGCTGCATGGGCAGGGGGCCCGGCTGCGGCACGTGCGGCGTGTTCCTGAGCAAGCTGCTCCTCGAGCTTTCGCTTTCCAGCCTGGGCTGCTTTCGTGGACGCTTCTCGCAGGTCCGCGTTGAGAACCAGCGCGCAGCCTTCTCTGCCGCGAGGGCCGTGGCCAGCTCCGCCGTCCGTGCACTGGCCTGCGACTGCGACGGCTGATCTGGGCACAGATCTGAGCACCGCCGGGAGGCAGCGCCTCGGCCTCGAGCTCCGTCAGCTTCGACTCCAAGCTCCGCCTCTCGGCCTCCAGCTCCGACCATGCAGAAACGAGCTCTCCCTTCCCCTTCTCTTCTCTCTTTCAGTAGGAGTATTAAACAAAAGGAGGCGCTTTCGCTTCTTTCACGGGCCTTCGCCTGCTTGGCCTTGGTCTCGGCGCGGTTCCTCATGCTCTTCAAGTCGGCCTCCAGCCCAACTGACAGTGGGGAACCGCTCGGCAGGTGGGATCTTGTCTGCTCTTGTGGGCTTGCCACCGGCCTCATCTTCCGCAAACTTCTGGTTCTCCTGCTCCGCCTGAGACCACACAGGAAGCCACAGAGCAAAGATCGCGAAAGATGCGAGCTTTGAGCTGCCCGCCTTCGCCAGGGCTGCCTGCAAAGCGGATCGCTCCGCCTGCAGCATCGGTGGCGGCATCTCAAGTTCAGTGGGCTCTCAGTCTAACCTAAGGGTTTCGGGTTCGGGGCTTGGGGGTTGTTGATCGGGTGTTCTTGGTGAGTTCGGGGTCCGAGGAGCATAACTGTCAAAGTGGAGCTTGACATGGCAACATCTTCGAGCGTCTCACGAAACTCAACCTCCAGGCTCCTGGAAGCTCGCAAAGCCAAGAGTTGAACCCTCGTCGACGGTGAACGGGAAACCCTAAGCCTACACTCCTCCACCCAGGCCCTTCCTGCAGGGCTTCCAGAGCTTTGCTTGAGGTGGCCTCGTCGACAGGACGGGACAGGGGTGACAGGAGGGGGGCGCAGCCAGCGAACCCTATGACATTATGACACTATGACCTGCCATAGACCTTCACCTTGCAAGGCCGAAACCTTATGAATATGCCAGTCTTTCGCAGGCGACTCTTGTTTCTGAAGATGTGCGAGCGGCAATGTCACGCTCCATCTTCGCCAGAACCTGCCAGTCACGGCGGCTACTTTGCTGGATTGAAGGTACCAGCCTAACGAAATTCTGATAGGTTCTTCAAATAGCTGACGATGGGCTCTGGGGAAGTGCCTCCTTCTCGCCTTGACGGCCGCGCCTGGTGGCTGCAACCTCCCATCGATGCTCAAGGGCTCGGACACCCCCCCCAACATCCCACAAGCGAGAGTCCAATCCCGGCTTTTTGCCGCTCCAGCTCGTGATGAGCAGCACAGTGGATTTTGAGCAATCACAACATGACAACAACAACTTGGAGATGTGTCAAGCCTTACGAGGCTTTGAACATTAACAGCTCACATGATCCTCTGCGCCGCAATTCTCACTGTGGGCTGCGAGCAGCTATCCGCGTTGAATTCTTCTCCTGTGACATTGGTAATTCGCTAGCTGACTCGAGAGGCTCTCTATGCAAACGTCCAGGCGTAGCTTGTGAGCAGGTTCTGCCGTCCTCCACGAGGTGCGCCAAGGGGATCTGGCTCTGCAAGCTGCCGTGAATCAGCCGCCGCGCAGCAGTGGGCACCGTCTGCGGCATGACGTCTCTCCGAGTTTCATGCGCTCCACGAAATCTCCGAGGCCTCGCGCCTGAGGCCGGAACTCTGCACCTCGCCACTCGCGCAGCCTCTGAGACTCGCTCAGGAATCCGGAGGTTGAGTTTGCTATTCTGAGGGCGTGTTGCTTCGGGATTTCAACGGGATGGGTCCCACCGTCTGTTCAAGGCTCTTGAACTTGGAGCTGTTAAGTTTCCCGTTCGCAGGCAGTGAGATGCTATATGGGAGGTAGTTTCCAAATCGTTGGCAAACCATCGATGTGTCCCTACTTCCGATGCGTGTACCAGAAAGCAATTATGTCTGTGGCAGCATTCCCAAATTGCCGTGATTTCTCACAAAAACTGCTCGTGCTCATGACCCCGGCGCCTCTCCCTGGTGGCCGCCGTGGCGGAGGTCAAGGCGCGGACCTGGATGGCATGGGGGGCGTTTTTCGAAGCCGAGACGACCCCAGGAACTTCTCATCTACGCAGTGGGACGGTCCGGAAGGGTGCACGCACGCCTGGAGGAAGGTGTCTCCAGAGCCAAGGGTGCCTGGCAGCAAACTATCAGGCTGCAATGAGACTTGTGGACACACCGACAGCTCTGAAAACACCAAATGCAGGCTGAAGCAGGCAAAGACTGCCCTGCCTTCAGCAGCCCTCGTCAGCAGCTCGCGGGCATGCGTTGCCCTCAGAAACCGGGACAAGCGGCGACACACTGGCGAGGTCCACTTTCCCGCCTCCGCAGCGCCACCACTGCAGTGGAGGCTCCCTCGGATGTCTCGCGGACGCAGATGGCACTCGGCCAGGAAGACCTTGGGGACGCAGCGGCTCGCATGTTCCCTGCAGCCTTTGTGCGGAGGCTTCAATCGCTTTAAGCCCCATTGGCTCGTGGAAGCTCGACACGTTCCCCGTACGATTCTTGTGATACTGTAAGGATACTGTAAGGATACTGCTTCGGCAACGAGAGCTGCTGCGCCAAACAGGATGCCAACCACCTCGCAGGTGCTGTTCGTTTGGGAAAACCACGTGTCTTGTGGATGCATTCCCCGGATCTTTCTGCCTCGACCTTGTGCAGCCATTCTCTGGGGAGCCCCTGGATGATCCTGACGCGCTGCTGAAACACGCCTCTAGCAAAACATGCTTCGGGCATCGGCGTCTGCCCGCCTTCTGGCAAGTCGTAAAGTTCCACCTGAACAGAGTGCCGTCTGACACTTCTTCATGCATTGCTGCGCTCGGTTGGGTGCCCGGCCACGTGCGAGTCTGGCACATGAAAGGCTTGAAGCTGGTCCTGTTCTGTTACAGCTGAAGCTTTTGAACTGCGGCTTCGCCGGCAAGGCACATGAAGAGTGCTGTGTGAAACGTTCTGCGCGCATCCTCCGTTATCGAGGCGGCGACCCGTTCCGTCGATGCCTCGCAGAGAAGTCACGCGAGCTTGGAAGAGCTTGCCGGCACCGCATCGCGACATCTCGCGGGATCGAAAGCCGCGTGGTTGGCTCTTCCGCTCTCCCACCGCCCGATCTTCCGCCTCGGAGACGGCCCGGCTGAAGGGGCAGAAGTCGGAGTCCAAAACGGCGCCCAAGGGCCTAGTCCCAGCCTGCGGAGCATGTGCGCGCAGCGATGGCACGGCTCTATGGCTTCTGGTAGGCTAGCCTGGGGCTCAGTGGGGTCTTCCAAAAAAGGAGACGTGACGAAGCCGGTTGAAGTATCTGTGTCACAAGGTTCAAAAAACGGACGAGCTTGTGGAAGTGACCCGGAGAAACGTCGCCCATGCTGGCAACCCATCTTTCGATGCTACTACTCGAATATCTTCGTCTCACAGTTTTGTGCACCTTCGCCAGACTCAGAAAGCTAAAAGAAATGGATATGGATATAACTAACTCCTTGTCAGAAGGTACCTGTCAACCTGTCAACTGCGCCAAAACCCTCAACCTGCAGCTGATGTGCTGCATGGGCACCCTGCGCATGAGCTTCGATCCTGCGACCTGGAGAGTGCCAGGGGGGACGGGGGACTGGCCTGAGGAAAGGCCAGGGGCGAATCCGGCATGCCGCGCAGGCGCACGTGCAAGGGCAGCCCTGCCAGGCTTAGATCTGAGCTGGGCACGTAGAGACAATCCCTGAACCCTGAACATAGACAATGTGTTACGTCCTAGATGTCCGAGCTCCACCACCCATAAGGCTTATCTCGGATCACCAACTGGAGCACAAGGCAACTCTGAGCAAGCCAGCACACCTCGTGCAAAGCTGGAGGGAAGCCGCTCAAAGGCGGCCGGACGGCGAAAACTGTCTCCTTTCTATATCTAAAGCTCTGCAAAGCCGAATTTAAAATTACACCAGCGAAGGCCCCAAACAGAATACATCGAATCATGCCGGTTCAACTTGGAACGTGTTGGAACCCGATCTGTCTTCGAAACAGATGTTTAGGCATTAGGCAAGATTCTTGTGCAAAAGAAGAATGAGTGGTGATGACATCATATGACCTCCGTGATGAAGGGGGGCCCAATGAAAGCTCGCCGCGGCCCATCCGACCATGGAGCCGAGTCCGGAAACATGAGGGGAACCCACCCGGTCGCCGCCCACCCATCCGACATAGGAACCCAGAAAGGATGAAGGGAGGTCAAGGGCAGCCCACATCCAACCCAAGAGCCCCGAAAGGAAACATGAAGGGGGGAGCCCAATGATGAAGGGAGTTAAATGGGAGACCCCACCCCCATGAGACCCGGGAACCCAGAAAGGAAACATGAAGGGAGGTCAATAGAAGCCCAGCGAGCCCAAAAACGAAACATGAAGGCAGCTCAATGTTGAAGGGAGCCCGATGGGAGCCCACCCCGTCGCGGCCCACCCATCCGACCATGAAATCTCGTCGCTGCGGCCCACCCGTCCGATCCAGGAGCCCAGTAAGGAAAAAAGAAGGGACCTTTATTTCTGAGGAGAGAACCCCAAAAAGAGACCCTGCACTCGGTGCTTTCTGATAGACATGAACACAAGGAAGTTTCGGGCTCCATCAGCCCGATGAACAAATCCAGAACACCCTCTGTTGATACTCCTTTCCGGGAAGTTCTCGATTGGGGCATCCCTCCATCATAAACTGGGGGCAAACTGAAGAATCCTTGCGACATTTTTCTTAGACAGCAGGGGCAGCCCCTGTACTTTCCAGGCTCAAAGCCCCCCCGCCTGAGGCGCTTTGCGTGACCTGTGGCTGCAAGGGGATCGCTCCCTCCGCCTCACAGCAGAGCTTGCAAGCTGTGGGAGTTTGCGCAATCCGACATGCACTTTCTCGGCCTCTGGCTTTTGTTCTCTTATTGCCGCTCTTGCGCATGCTTCTTTGACTTCAACTAGAACTCTTTCATCCCTCCTGAATGGCACCTCAAGGAAAACCAAAATCTCAAAACCGACGCTGTGCCAGCTTTATGGCATCCGGCTATCACCTTTGTCACGTCACGTGACGGTGATCAAAAGCAAGGTTTCGCCACTCCATGACGATGCTTCTGCAGAAATCTGCGAGCCAGCTCCCACGGCTTCGGCATCGGTGTTCCGCCGCGACCCTGATATACCATCAAAGAGCGGGATCTTTCTCAAAAACCTGGAAGTATGTCAGTGCAGCTTTTCGACGCCGTTGGCCGAGCTGCGCGAGAGGGCTCTGCAGCCAAGCACGTGAAAGTCGGCGACCATAACAGCCACACCCCACTTTCACCCTTCTGCCAGGATCCGGCGAGTGAGGCTTTGACGGAGCGTGTGGGGTGGGCTGGCGGGCTGCCCTCTATCGGCCTTTCACAAAGCATCGATCTTCCCACCGCATTTAACCAAGCATCCCTTTGTTAGGCGGCATCAACTGCTCTTTGCTTTCCGTGCCTGTGAACAAATACTACGAGTCCCACCCTGGTGTCTCTTTGAGGCCAGTCCGCCCAAGCCATGCTTTGGCCACGACTTCGCCGGCCTGCGCATGACCCGAGAAGAGATGGGGCCTCAAGGA